GCCTAAAAGGCCTATAAAAAAAAGCCATCGAACATAACACTAATAGAGCAGCCGTGATCATGACTTCCGGTCGTATGCGCGCGTGCATCTGTCACAAGATGGAAGCGTTGTTTGAATTAAAACGCCATGACACCTTTCTAGCGTCGTTGTTTGAATAACAAAGCGGATAATTTTGACTTTTTCTGTTTTATCGTGAACTAGCTCACGGCTCGTCGGGCGTTATATAGTTATAAGAGCCAATGGACATCAACGAAGTTAATGCAGTAAAACGGTTGTCTCCTACGTACGTGTACCTACCCGCGCGGACTCACAAGACGTCCCACCTCCAGTAATTACGCAATTTATAATTTTGCGGATTCGATTTTTATTACACGACTAGCTGACCCGGCAGACTTCGTAGTGCCTCAATCGATAAATAAAATACCTAAAGTTTTGTCTAAAATAAACTTAAAACAAACAAAAGGAACCCATCCGACGGAGGACATACCAAAGGAAAAACTACGGAAGGATATTTTTTCACCTTTTCTCTGGACTTCCACGAATAATTCAAGACCAAAATTAGCCAAATCGGTCCAGCCGTTCTCAAGTTTTAGCGAGACTAACGAACAGCAATTCATTTTTATATAATATATAGATAGATAGATGTCAAGAGATAAAAGGCTATTTGGTTTTTAAGCAACATTTTTGCAACTACACAGGAGAGAGCTATTGAAAGGTATATGTGTAAAAAAATATTCACCTATTCAAATGTAGTAAACTTAATTGAAGTTCAATTAAAAATATCGAACTGTTGATGCTGATCTATACTTCTGTATTAATATTATAAAGAGGAAAGATTTCTTTGTTTGTTTATATTGAATAGGCCCTGAAACTACTGAATCAATTTGAAAAATTCTTTCACTGTTTGGAAGCTACACTATTACCGAAGGACATAGGCTATGACCTTTTAAAAAAAAAATTAGGGATCCTTACTAAAACTCCAATAATGTAAGCCAAGGTGTAAAAAAATTACCTAAAATATTCTTTACATCGCGTGCCCTGCAAAAACTATTGACGATAGAATAAAATAATGTACTACGACTTTGTAGAACACATTAGTATTTACAAAAAGTGTTGCGACAGCATATGTCTAACTATTATAGTTATGCCGCAATAAGTTTTCTTTTATTTAAAAAAATAAAACAACGTCAAATATCGTTGAAATTTTTGTTAAACCTAGTACCAAATAAAACGGACCTTTAATTACAAAGATAAATGTCGCTTGTAAAGCGAAATGTCGCTTGTTCCGAACAGCCTTTCGTCCCCTCGATACAGTAATGCAACGCCTTAAATATCTCGAGTTCATTGTCTGTCGGATGTAATTGACCTTTACTGGGTCGCAAGTTAAGTAATTAGTCATTACATTAATTGTTCTAAATTAGCTAAGTTCGAACGTATCTGTGTAGTAGTGTTACGTAATGCTGAATGCATACAGTGAACGAGCTCACGGCCCTATGTGGTGGTAAGCGACCAGAGCCCATGGACAGCAGGAAAGTAAATGCCGGCGTCCAATTCGAGGTGTGTAAGTCTTCATTTTAGTAGTAAAATCGCTCCCCTACATTCCAAACTATAATGCATTACTGCTTCTCGGCATATATAGTTCGTATAATTATCTAGGATCTCAAAAGACGACATTGAGATTTGCAAAAAAAAAAAAGTTGTTCATGTCCTATTAACCTCTGTTCGGTTTGAATTCGATTTGGAAGAAATATTAGTATTCGAAAATTTAAAATCCGAATGGATTCACCAAAATGAAGAAGTAAATATTTAAACAAGAGTTAAAAACTTTTTAAATTATGTGAAATTGTTGTCAAATTGATTGAAATTGTTGTTTTATTGTATTTTATAAAGACATGCAAAAAAAAAAATACTAACTAATATTTAATATGTAACGATAATATAATAATTAGTGTAGGAATATGAACACGACTTTAAATTAACTCAGATGTTCTTACAGTATACCAACACAAAAAAGAAAATAAAAAAAATTACCTCTAATAGAAGTGTAATTTTTAAACAGGTCATTGAATATTTTCTGTTACAGTGTACCAACATTATAAAATGGTATATTTATTTGAAAAATATGCTTCAATAGAATTAATGTAGGTATTCTATGTAAATGGATTGAATTATTATTCGATACAGTGTACCAACATTTTAACGTTAATATTAAATTTCAAAAACATTCCCAATGGTAGTCTAGGTTTTCTTATTATATTATGTTTTTTCATTAATATTTTTTACAATGTACCAACATTAGAAAAGAAAATGCGAATTTCAAAAATAACCCCACATTAATAAATGTGTTGATAATTTTGGACGCGGCATTTTTTTTTTTTTGCTTTTCATTGTTTTATGCCGACATTAGAAAGTATTAATTTGTAAAATATCTCCAATAGAACTGGTAGGTACGTACGTATTACTAACGTAACAGATGTGTGAGCGCACCTTGCGCCAAAGAAATGCGCCTGTGTTGTTTTTTTTTCTTAATTTTCGCCATCTGCCGTCTATCCGAAATCGATAGACCCCCGTTAGGTAGGCAGAATTAAAGGGAGTGCGGATCCGCTGAAATTGGTCGTGTTTTTGAGTTCAAAGACCCTAAATACGAATATTGTGGCCCATTGACGTATCATACGATAGCATTGTCGCGGTAGTGCATAGTCTGTTGTTAGCAGGCTACTACTTAGTAATTTACTGGTGGTAAGGCTCAGGAGTCGCTTGGGTAGTAAATGCGTTCCCGTTCCAAGGGTGGGGCAGCCGTTGTATTGCAGAACTGGTATACTGATGTTAGGACGTCTTGTGAGTCCGCGCGGGTGGGTACCACCACCCCGCCTATTTCAGCCGTGAAGCAGTAATGCGTTTCGGTTTGAATGGGCAGCCGTTGTAACTATAATAAGACCTTAGAACTCATATCTTAAGGTGGGTGGCGGCATTTCCATTGTAGATGTCTATGGGCTCCAGTAACTACTTAACACCAGGTAGTTTGTGAGCTCGTCCAACCATGTAAGCTATAAAAAAATAAAAAAAATATAATTGGGACCTAGAATTCATGTCTCAGGCGTTCCCATTTTATAAATTAAAATAAATAAGGGTGATTTGTGCTTTCATCCAAACATGTCCTTCGGGCAGACAAAGAGTGTCCCAATCACAAAGCCCCCCTTAAACAAACTAAAATTAGCTCCAGACGAAACGCGACATCCCTTTGTCTCGCGGATGAAAAAAAAAAACAAGTTGACATATTATTATCTCCTTGCACTATTTTAAGTGGCAAATCTTGTTTAAATGATAGTTTAAAGATATAGAGATGTTATATTTTACCTCTATGAATAATTTCGCACAAGAAAATCATTTTTTATTATTATTACTTAAGTTCTTGAATGTTCCTTAAAAAAAATTCATTCGTTCGATTAATATGGTTTTAAAAAAAAATTAAACAAATTTATTTTTACAAGTTGGCTCCTCATTTTTTTCTTTTCTTTTTTATTCGATAGGTTAACTATTTTTTTTACTATTTGTTTGATCAATTAAATTTTATTATTCGATTGTCTTTATATATTTTTATTTGTTTTTTTCCGGAATTAATTTATAGTTTTTTTTTATTATTATTATTACTATTATTACACAATACATTGAGTCACGTGTTAAATTGTTTAACTCATTAAATTAAAGATGATATTCTATGTTTTTAAAAAACAGATTACTTAAGGTCTAGACATTTTTTGAATTGGACTTAAACTACATAGAGTACGTTTGGGGCGGAACAGTGTTACCTTTTTTTTTATTTTATTTTTCTAATTTTACCGTATACAAGCGATGAAGGGGTTTATGAATAAAATAGAATGACACTCATTGTTTTTTTACCTATAAACTACGAGTTATTATCAACTTAACCTTACAGGATAATTAATGTATACAAAATTCGACATTGTCTTTGGGTTTTTTTTAATGAGCGTAAATTAACATGATTTTTTTTTATTGACCTTGTAGAGTAGTCTTTGCAGACGAGCAAACGGCCCACCTGATGGTGAGTGGTTACCGTCGCTCACGGACATCAGCTTTTTTTTTTCCTACCTAAGCTGATAGCCTTGAGAGGCTACTTCAGCGGAACCTTAACTAGTAGGTGAGCTCACGGGGCTCAAACCTGCGGCGTTGCTAAAACGAACCCTAGCAAGAGTCGCGCTTCGCAGAATCTACCACCGGATCGGAAACGCGACCCACTGAGAAGATCCGGCGAGAAACTCAGTGGGCTGTGTCTGTGGGTTAATTTACTCGTCGAGCCACGGGTTCGACGAGAACGGTGACCGGCGTTTGAGGTACCTAAAAGCACCGTTAGTGGATCGGGAGGATCCGAAATGACGTCTCTGGGACGACGTTGACTGCTTTCCATTCTTTCCGCAGGATCGGGAATGGGACATCAGCAATAGCACGAGCAAAGCCAAGCCGCTGTCTACCAAAATATACTTCTTATAGTATATTATTATGTAACGGCAGGGCGTTATTTTTCGTTCGTATTTCAAAAACGCGAAGCGTCTAGTGGATTCGTTTGCTTCAAATTCTGCGAATAAAAAAATTAACTATATAGTGCTGTTTTGAGTTTTTTTTTTATTGTTTAGATGGGTGGACGAGCTCACAGCCTAACTGGTGTTAAGTGGTTACTGGACATAGACATCTACAACGTAAATGCGCCACCCACCTTGAGATATAAGTTCTTAAGTCTCAATAGTTAATAGTCTCTTTAGTCTGGAATAAAAAAAAAGCATCTCCTAATAAGCTTCGGGCCGTCATTGTTGTTGAATGAAATAGAATTAATTCAATACATGAAGACACTGTCCACAAGTAATAGTAGTATTATATTAAAAAAAAAATACAGTAGAGTTCACGGCTCACCTGAAGCGTGAAGTGTGGAGCGACTGTAATAACGCAACTGCTCTCTTGCGTCTCGCTTTAATATAGTGCATGCGAAAGAGACAAACGCTAAGGGCACGTTTTGTATGCGCGCGCAGCTTTCCCGACGTCCCCGCGGCGTCAGTCGAGCGTTACGCTTCGTAGTAGTCAGTTGGTTGTCGCGTCGCGTCGTGAGCGATCGCAGCCGCCGCGTAAATAAATAATAATAATAAAATAATCAAAAGTTAAAAAGTGATGAATTAAACTGTCCCGCGTAAAAAATATCAAGTTAAATCGTTTAAATGATGGGCGTTGGTGGTTGTGTTAGCGTTCGGCAGGCCAGAGGTGTGTGCCACTGCCCGGCCTGCCCCAGGTCTTCAGGACAGATGCCCCCTCAGACCTTGGTCCTACCTCCGATGGCCATGACGGAGCCGGAGACTACCCCGGTGAAAGACAAAAAAGGATCGAAAATGAAAGTTTTGAAGAAAATCAAAAAGAAAATAGGCCTAGGTGAGCGATTGTAATATAACTACCCTTTTTTTTTTCCTACTTATTCCAGTAACTTCGAGGGGCCATGCTAGAGTGGGTGAGCTCACGGGACTCTAACTTGACGACGTTGCTAACACTAGCCCTAGCAAGAGCAGTCGCTAAATCTACTACCGGATCGGAAACGCGACCCACTAAGAAAATCCGACGAGAAACTCAGTGGGCTGTGTCTGTGGGTTAACTAATTACCCTCTGTTTAATAGAAATATAAAGTGTGATGAAACTACCGATTGATTAGTGGCCGAAATGCGTGGGATGTCTGCACCGTGCCGGTCAAGTTATTGTGATCCCGTGAACTTGGACCATGTCGGGTTCAGAAGCTAATAATCTCTGCTTTGTTCATACAACAAAAGATCACCTTTAAAGATTTATAATGAAAATTTAACGGCCATTAAATTAACAATGCATTAATTTAATTTTAATTACCCACATTAGGGAAATCATTTGATGCAATTATAATTCTTTATAGAGGTATTTTGACGATATGGTCATTACACATTTTTAACATTTAATAATTGTTCGATTTGGAAGGGGAAGGAAGGAAATAGCTTTTTTCCCGACCTATTTCCTGATAGTCTACAGAAGCTCTTCCAGCTACGCCTTGACGGGTAGGTGAGCTCACAGTCAAATCAAATCAAAAAAAATTATTCAACATACATACATACTTGATAAACGTCAAAAAGAACTACCGCCAATTCAGAAAAACTAGCCTCCGTCCTGAGAAGAACTGGCAAGAAACTCAGCGGACATATTGTCTTTTTTCTTTTTTTTTTAATATTAGATTTTTTTTTAAATATTAATTTTTACAATGAGTATTATAACATAACAATTATTGCAATATTGAAATGCCCGGAGCGAATAACTCATTCCCACTTTGTACAATCTTCTAGATAATCATTGACTTTATAGTAAGCTTTATTGCACAGACGTTCTTTAATAGTTTTCTTAAACCTATGTATATGTAGGTTCTTCACGGGCCCAATCTAAGAGGATTTGCTAACACTGGCCCTAGCGAGGGCAGAACTTCTCTTAATTTACCACCGGATCGGAATCGCGACCCACAGAGAAGATCTGGCGGGTAATCTAATAGAAGCCAGGGCGTGGTATCCTTGAATACCACCTCGTCTCTCCCTGGGGCGCGCTAAGAAACTAAAGGTTTTTTTAGGGGCCATTCCAGCTACGCCCGGACGGGTAGGTAAGCTCACGGGTTCAACCTGAGGGAAATTAAAGGATTCACCAGAGAATGGACAACAACAATCTCTTAGTATTGTAACGTAAAACGAACCAAATATACTGGTGGTAATTGCATTCTCCCACAAGCTAGCTACCACCTTTCTCCTAAAGTAAGACATTTTAAAGTGTAGCGCACATCTTGAGATGGGAGGCTGACATTCGTGATGATGTCTGTACGATTTTTAACATTGCTGAAGTCCATGGGCGACGGTGATCACTCACCATCAGATGGGCCGTATGCTCGTCTGACTGTAAGGGCAATAAAGAAAACGGTCCGGCAACCACTTAACATCAATCGGGCCGCCAGCTAAAATTGTAATATAAACACAAATTACCAGGCAACTATGATCTGCGAGGAGGTATTAAACAAGATAGTTTCATCTGTCAGTTTATTTTTTCTGCTACCTACCATCCGACTTTGGAATGAGCTCCCCTCCAAGATAGTTTCATCTGTCAGTTTATTTTTTCTGCTACCTACCATCCGACTTTGGAATGAGCTCCCCTCCACGGTGTTTCCCGAGCGCCATGCCATGCCCTTCTTCAAACGAGGCTTGTGGAGAGTATTAAGCGGTAGGCAGCGGCTTGGCTCTGCACCTGACATTGCTGTAGTCCATGGGCGACGGTAACCACTCACCATCAGGTGGGCCGTAAGCTCGTCTGCCTAAAAAAAAAGTAATTAGGAGCAAAAGTACCAGGATAACATGAGATACGTAGAGGTATGTTATGTATAATTTAGAACAATTTTGTTTTGACAAATTACCGCCAAAATACATTACAATAGGTACCTACTCTGAGGTTAGTGAATTCTCAGCTGTCCGTGGACATCAATGACTTAGACTAAGCTTCTTTTTTTTTTTCTCCAACTTTTAAACTTTAAATTGTTCTTCTGTAAAGTTACAAAAATGTCGCTTAATACACAATAGCCTTTCTTTCACCCCTCGATATATATATGGCATTTTAGGGGATACGTTCCGTATGTACGTGACAAAATAAAAACATACTTTAGGCGTAGTTGTAGTAAGGTCAATTTTCTTTAACAATAGTAGAAGTGGGACCATTTTTTTTATATTATTAGAAGTTGGAATTCTACCGTGAAGCAGTAATGCGTTTCGGTTTGAAGGGTGGGGCAGCCGTTGTAACTATACTTAGACCTTAGAACTTATATCTCAAGGTGGGTGGCGCGTTTACGTTGTAGATGTGTATGGGCTCCAGTAACCACTTAACACCAGGTGGGCTGTGAGATCGTCCACCCATCTAAGCAATTTAAAAAAAACACCTCTTTATATATACCAGTGTGCTTAGTGCGAGTTTTTTTAACGTTCTCGATAACGTAAAAGTTAACTCATAATTGTATACAGTTGAAACAGCGCCCCTAGCGGCTAACGTAGGCAAACGTTCCGACTGCATACAAAATTGAGTTAACTTTTACGCTATCGAGAACGTTAAAAAACTCGCAAGCGCGCTAAATGAGCTAATTAAGCGCTCCGTTTTGAAAGGTGGGGATTCGGACTCACAGTTATTGCCTAGAAGAGCAGGTGGATTATGAACCTCATACAAATATATCGGCTATTTCTTTAATTACCCTTGCTATGAGAATCGAGGAAGATCTCAAGACATCTGCCGTTGATAAATGCGACATCTAAAATTTTATATTGAACAGCTGTTTTGGAAGCCATTTTGGATTCTTTTATTTGTATTACTTCATGATAATTAATGTATCTATAGAAGTCTACCAATAAAGCCGGTTGGACTAGGTGAATATGTTTGGATATTTCTTTTTTTTTTTACCAAAAAATTGCCTGCAGGGAAATGTTTACGTTCAATCTGATAAGGATTGGGTATGTGTCTGTGGACATCACCACACTCATTCGCTTTAAGAGGTGAACTCGTAATCACAAGTAATTAGTTTAAAAGTTGTACAATCTATACAATCATTGTGTGCGAGATAACTTTAATTAATTCATATCTGCGATCTCAGGGAGGGTAGGTACAGTTACTGCTTTTTTTTCCTACCTAGCCTTGAGAGTCTATTTCAGATTTTCCTTGACGTGTAGGTGATCTCGCGGGGCTCAAACCGGAGGTATTAGAACTTAGAACTTATATCTCAAGGTGGATGGCGCATTTACGTCGTAGATGTCTATGGGCTCCAGTAACCACTTAACACCAGGTGGGCTGTGAGCTCGTCCACCCATCGAAGCAATAAATTGCTAACACTGGCCCTTGCAAGAGCAGTGCATCGCAGAATCTACCAGCGGATCGGAAACGCGACCCACTGAGAAGATCCTGCGAGAAACTCAGTGGGCTGTGTCTGTGGGTTAATTTACTCGGAGAACAGTGACCGAGAGGTCTTCATTTTTTAACCCAAAAATTGCGTGCAGGGAAATGTTTAAGTTTGTTTGATATAGATTCGATATGTGTCCACGGACATCACCATACTCATTCGCTTGAAGAGGTGAACTCGTAAACACAAGTAATTAGTTAACAATAATTGTGTGCAATTTAATTCATATCTTTGATCTCGGGGTACACTTACTGTTGTTTGGGATTACTTCCAATATGTCCGTTTTTGGGACCATTATCACCAAGGTCTTTCGAGACCCACGCCACATGTCTGGACCGACTCTGGCTCTGTCAATAACAATGACGACTGCACCGACCCGTTTCTATTGTACCAGGAGCTCAGAATGTGCTAGGAGCCTAATACTTAACACCCGCTGTGACGTCACGCAAATTCGAAAACGTTCTTTGTTTTTAAAAATATTAGGAAAAGCATTCGAAATTCGAAGACAATGATGTTCCACATCTGTTTTAAATGAGCAAATGGCCGAGAACTTGTACCGACTCGCCCTCATTGTGTCGACTTCCGGTCGGTTTCCGCACATCCGGTAGAATTAGTTTGAGAACAATAATGACTTTTTTACACGTCATTTAATTTTGGTAATGAAAAAGAAAATTTTTGTCTGCGACCTAAAGTAAACAAAGAAATATATGTGAGTTTACTTAATTTAAAGTAGATTTCATTTAAAAAAATTGGCTGTGTGGGGCAGAATATTGACTTTGGGGGTTAAATGTTAATGAGAAGATCTTCCATTGAGCTGTCAAAGATGCTCGATTGACAGACGCTCTCAATGTTATTTATTGTATAACTTTTATAAAAATCAGTAAATTATCTTTAAAATCTCGTCAGCGCAACTCAGTTTGCTTAGTGCCAGTTTTTTAACGTTCTCGATTGCGTAAAAGTTAACTCAAGTTTGTATGGAGTTGATTGATTATCCGAAACGTTCTATTCGAAATTTGAATATTGGAGTTTATTGGAGTTTACTCCTTTAGAATCGATTTACATATATAGGCCCGGGGTATGAAAATTATGGGGACCAAAATCGTACTAGCATGTCACACGAAATGCGTTATGCGCCTGATTGCGCATGTCACACGAAATGCGTTATCGCAGGTGACGCCGGGCTGCTGCGCCGGCAGTCCGCCACAAAGCCTCGTACTGANGTCTATGTAGTTATAACAATATTTTTTAAATTTGTTGGTAAAAATCTGGTTTATTCGAAGTGAAATTGGGAATAAGTCTTTAGTTGAAATAGATAAGCAATTTAATATAAGTAAGTCGATTTTGCAGAGACATGTAACAAGATCAATGAAATCTCAAGGTGGACAAAAATGTCTAAGTAATACATAATAAAATATTTAATATTTGTTTAGAGTGGGGGTATTCATCTGAT